ATATATAAAGGCCGAGGGCAAATATATTAATACGAAAAAGATACATAAATGTTGTATGAGAGGACTAAATAGAAAATCCAACTCATACAATACAACACACACAAAACCCGGATAAAGTAAAGATACAAAAAGGTAAAAAAAAACCAAAAAGTCACAAAAGGACACAAAAGTGTTAGGGACATCCCACTTTAGTCCTCCTGTCTCTAGTTCTCGAAAGTGAGTCGACTAACAAATTGGTAAGATGTGTACTATTGCCCGTAGCAACCAAAGTATTAACCATCAGCTTTTTGATCTCAAGTAGATCTTCATTCTTCTTCTTCTTCCTCATAGATGTGTAGACTTGTCATTCCTCATCTGACAATTGACTTATCAGATCAGTAGATTCCAAAGGTGCTCGGATAGGTGTAGGTCGTTGTACATCTTGATCCCCATGAGCCTGAGTAATATTAACATCTTTCTGGACCTGAAGAGGCGGTTGTGAAACAGTAGAAGTATTTCCACCTTTATCATCAATGATAGGTTCTAGTGCAGGCAGGGTTTGAAGAAACTCCCTCAACCCCACGATAGGAGGTTCCAAAGACGAGAGAGCTACAACTGGGGATTGAATGGTTGTCATATTGTCTGCCTGATTAGAAGAAGATGGAATCACAGTCTCTGGCGGAGCAGTTTGCTTCTTTGGTCTAAGTTGGGTTTGAGGTGGGGGTGTAGATGGTGACATTGAGAACTGGAATGTCCGAACATACAACAGTTCGAACAATATGACGAAAAATGTTCAATCTCTACCTTCTGTCAATATACATGGTGTTGTGTGCCCAACCAGATTCCTCAGAAGCGGGTGAAGTGATATCTTTTTCAACAAGTACTCTGGCTTCAGAAGGACATGACAAATTAAAAGTAGGAATGTCCGTCTTGAGTGACTTCTTATAAGCTGAGGCAATAAAGTATAATACTTTTTGAGAAAAATAATGAAATTTCACACCAGGGAGACGAATCCAAATCGAAATGATTTGGCGGTTTCGTCTGTGGGTCAAAATCCATTGACCATTTCAGAATCTTCATTGCTCTGTTATCAATCCATATTATCCTTCTAGCAAATAAGCGCATGTAATCTTCTCCATTGTTAATTTGAATAAGAATATGTCTCTCATCTAATAATCCAATTTTACATTCTCCAACAAGGTGCATAAGTTCAAATTCTTATAAGTTCAAATTCTGTGCATAAGTTCAAATTCTTTGCGAATAAGCTCCATTTTGGGATGACCATATAGAAACTTCCCAACCAAATTCAGGCGACAAAATGATGCAAGTTGAATACCATCAACTTCTGTAAAAAAGATGGCAGACTTCTTATTCTTCCTACCAGGTTTCTTGATGTTTTCCGCCCACTCAAACGAAGGAGGGAAAGATGATGATTATGGTGTGCCTGAAGCTTGGACACCGGCAAGGACAGCTGCATATGATTTGTCCAAAGTCATCCTCAAGGATAAGTGCGACGTTTAGAGAAAAAATAGACGAGGGAAAAAATGACGTCGAAATAGCCGAAGCTAAAAAAGGGGTTGACGTGTGAGACGAGACGAGCGCAAAGAACGCAGAAATCATGAGCAGTTCCGGTGAGATTGAGCTGCAGAACACGCGAGCGGCGAGACGGGCCGCAGAGGATCGAGCGCAGAGACACGCTCCTGTCTCAGGGCCAGAACGAGGGAGATGAAATTGAATCGAGCGCGAAGACGCCGAGAGGAAACATGTGAGCGAGAGAGAGCGTGAGGACGCCGAGAGGAAACACGTGAGCGAGAGAGAGTGAAGTCGTAACTGTTGCTAGGGTTCGCCATCGGGCGAAACCCTAACAGAGCTGAGCGAGGAAGACGACATACTGCATTATGATATATATATATATATATATATATATATATATGTATAATTTATGTATCTTTCTTCAGCAATTATTTTATTTTCTTATAAGATGCATTAAGTTTAACTTTTAAAAATAAAAAAAGTCACACCATACAGACCGAATTTAGATATAGATAGTATGCATACAAATTTCTGAAAAATAAAAGAAACTCAGAGAGGTAGTGGTCTGCATACATGACAAAAGTTTAGTCCCACTTTAGAGTTTAACATTATATTTTCAAAAGCATATGAAGGCTCTCATATTTCAAATAAAATACATATTTTTTGAATTTAAAATTTAAATTCATGAATTAATTTGAATAATTTTGAATTATTAAGGAGTATTTATACAAATTTAATTAGTTTGGCTATGTTGTTGCTTTGAGTGCTTGAATGAGGACAACTTGGAATGTTTAGAGGGGCCAAATGATGAAATAACTCATGCCTATGAGGAGAATACAATGATTCAGGGTGGTCCCCTTGAGTTAGAAAAATAATATCTGCAAAGGTTTTTTTATAAAGAGCTTTCAAAGAGGAGCATTCTCTTATTGCAAAGATGTCTTAATTTATTTTTTACTTAAAATTTAAAAAAAAATAAACGCTATAAATTTTTTGTTTCTCGCCTTTTCAAAAAATTATTGTGTATGTTCATCGTATACAGAAATACGTGCGACGAACCAATAAAAACACTATCTTTTATCTTTTAAGCTAACAAAAAAATATCCAATTAAACACCCGTCTAAACCGTTGCCTTGGGAACCGGATCCATAACCAATATCTATAAATACACAAACCTGGTTCTTCCTATTTGCGCTTCCCCACTCACCAGCGCCACCGCCGACAATGTCGGTGGTGTGCGGTTTTGAATGCTTTCTTTGCCTTGGATTCACGCGCTGGTTATGGAAGCGCCTCCGCTACGTTGGCTCCAACGACTCCGACTCATGGCCTCTCGCCGCCGCGAGGATTTCCGTCCTATCCCCCGCATCTGCCGCACCGTCCTCGCTGCCTACGAAGAGGATATTTCTCATCCACATTACGCTCCTCCCGCCGGGTATGGAATGAAACTGGAATGGCTCGTCAAGCGCGTCCCCGACAAAGAAACGGAGAATCAGTGCCCGCCCTACCTAATCTACGCCGATCGCGAGCACCACGAGATCATCCTTGTCATTCGCGGCCTCAATCTAGTCCGCAATAGCGATTACAGAGTCCTCCTAAACAATCATCTCGGTATGCAAATGTTCGACGGAGGATATGTCCACCACGGCCTGCTCAAGGCCGCCGCATTTGTGCTCAATCGGGAGTCGGAGATGCTGCGAAAATTGATTGGAGAGGGAGGTTCGGATTATAAGTTGGTATTTGCTGGGAATTCTCTGGGCTCCGGCGTGGCGGCGCTAATGACGGTTATCGTGGTTAACCATCGGGATCAGTTCGGTGGAATCCCTAGGAGTCAGATCCGGTGTTATTCGATCGCGCCAGCAAGGTGTATGTCGTTGAATCTTGCGGTTAAGTACGCGGATGTAATCAATTCTGTTATTCTTCAGGTGTGTTTTTGTTGTTGCTCTGTTTTATGTTCATCGAGTAGAATTGGATGGTTGGAGGAGCTTGTTTGGTTGAGGGATGTGAATTTTTCGATAGTTTTATGGTTTTAATTCCAATGAAAAAAAAAATTCTAAGCAGGAGGTTTTATTTACTGAACTGAAGAAGTATTTTTGTTATGTAACTGTATGTTCAACGTCGGTTTGAAAAGTGAAAAGTATGCACTACGAAACCTTTTTTTTTTTTTTGGTTCATTCGAAGCTCCAACGTATTGTTCAGAAAATCAATTTCTGGTTGGGATGTTCATTGGCCGGTGCAAGGACTTGGGGAACATATGATTTTTTCACATATAACATGTTAAGATAGACTGAAAAGTTGAGTTTGTTTTGATTTCTAACCACGATAATTTAGAAGGGGGAAATAGTATGCATGTTTTCTGCCCCTTTTTTCCGTCTTTTTTTAGTATGCATGCAAGATAGATCAAAAGAATCCATTGTCTTATTGATGAATATCTACCTAATTTGTTTCAATTTTGTGTTCAATGTATTCAAAGCTGCACCGGGAACAAACAGTTAGAGCGTTAAGCAGGTCATTCAAATATTGAGAGCGAAATTCCATAGTGATGTTGTTAGAAATTGAATAGAATGGGAAAAACTAACCCCTTCACTTGACTTGCATGAGAGAAACCCCAGTCATAATTTTCCTTGAGATAGCGAATTTTTAGAAAGTATATATTATTTCTATTATCCTTGAGATAGATTACTTTGTATTGTGTTAGGGTTTATTTAGATTAAGAGTTGAGAGTTTTTATGAACACAAACCTCTATAATTAATTATCATTCATATCCACTCGAGAGCACTCCTGTGAAGATACAAATGTTAAATATGTGTTTTCGAGATTAGCATTGACTAGGGCTTATCGTATCAATTTTCACTTGATTGATGAATGGCACACTGACATAACCAACGTGAGATTAGAGGAATAGCATAGCCATCAGGTGCCCACGGGTTTCAACATGATTGAAGAAGCATATCTAAAACAAAGATGATGTTTAATTGGTGGTTGTCTTAGCATGGGATTGGCCTGAGCTTAGGTTGGGTCTAGGTTTACACATATTAAAAGGCTCATAATTTTTTATATAATTGGGTTGTTGTCATTGTCCCAATCCAAATTAATTTGAGAAAAGTTCAACAATGAATCATTAAGAACAAAAAAAGTATAATAATGGATCTTATATTCATTGTTTTTTCTTTTTTAATTTCTATGAAATCGTCAACATGGGTGGGAGTTAAACCCCACTCTTTAAACTATGTAGAATGGGGGCAATGCCAGTTGAGCAATTGGTAGTAATGAGGATATATCTTCTTACTAACCTCCTAAGACATAAAACTACCAAGGAAAATCAGGTGAGCCTAATCTACTCCTAGTAAAAGGAACAAAAAAGGAATGAACTTGCTAGTCATAATTCCTCTTCGTTTTTGCTAACTTTATGCAATGGTTTCAACACCATTTTTTTGTCTGGCTACCACTTGATCTTTTATGGACTTTTAACATTTGTTGGTTCCTTGTGTGAAAGATTTTAACATATTTATTTTACAAATAACTGCATTCCTTCTGCCCACCATTTCAAAGTAGCATAAATAATCATACTCTTCTTGTGCACAAGCAATATGTCATTAAACCAGCTTGTCATTTTGAAGAGGACTCCACTCGATGGCTTGTTCAATTTTATGTATCCTCGTTGTCTCATGCACATAAGCTACTAGTAGATCTAGATTTGTAATATTTTTTTCCCCGCGATGAAAATAAGACATTTTATTTCTTATTTTCTTTGTGCCTTTCTGTAAACTCTCGACTGTTCTTGTCGCTCTACTAGAGCTGAATTCACATTCACCTTTTTCAGTGAATTTATAGAGGCTGGGAACATTTTCAACTCACATTTTTTACTAAATTTTCGTTGTTCAATAGAATAACTTTGTAAATTATATGAATTTTTGGCACCAAGTCATACTCTATACGTTCTAATGTGATATGGAGACTAAAACAAACATTTAATTATTTCCATGTTGACATTATTTTACTTTATCTTGGGGATTTGCTGAATGCATGAAATTTATTGTTGAATTTAAAAATGTTAAGCTATGTCTAGAATATTCAATGTCTCCGAAACATCAGCAATGAAAGGACAACTTAGTTTGTTGACATTCAAAAAAAAAAGAAAAATAAAGGAAAATAATTTGATATGCTTCTCAAAGAAAATTTAAATCATGATTTACCTGCTTTTACTTTCTATAATTTAGTCATTTAGATGCACTTCTAGCATGTTGATTTGATATAAAAATCAGATCAGATTACAATGATTGAATTTCAAACATTTGCTACTTGAATTTTGAGATGAGTTTTGCGTATAAATTTCTGTAGGATGATTTCCTACCAAGGACTCCTACTCCATTAGAGCATATTTTTGGATCCATCTTCTGGTAAGTTCTTACGTTTCCTTGTTTTCTAAACCGATTATGTTAATGCAGATTACAAATGTATGTTTCATGTTTTCTAAGCACAAAACATTGAATATATTTTGAATGCTCTGGACAGCTTGCCATGCTTGTTAATTTTTCACTGCATCAGAGACACCGTTGTACCGGAAAGCCGAAAGCTTAGGGACCCAAGAAGGCTTTATGCGCCTGGTCGAATGTATCACATTGTTGAGAGAAAAATTCTCAGGTAAAAAGGTGCTTCTGGACTTTTTATTGTGTTTTTGAGTTTAATTATTGCTTATTACAGGCATTCCAGGAATCTATAATACCTCATTGTTGGCGTCAGTGTGTTGGAAAATTACTTCAAACTATAATTATGAAATTCCCCTTTAGTGTTTTAAATATGCAAATATTTGGGTTAAAGGAGTATGAAACGTTTAAGAGGAAAAAACTCTCATTTCATCTTTGCCTATAGTGCCCACTTAAGACTGGATTTATGCTTTTCCAAGAGCCAATTTTTTCATCATGCTTAAACTTGATATTTGAGTATTTCGTTTTGTGTTCTAGCCTTTATATTATACCCCTCCAACGGAAACTATGTTGAAACACCCCTTGACTCTACCTACAAGACCTACAGCACCCTCTCCGCCTCCATCTCGATCCTCCTAGACACAATCCCTTCTCATCCTCCAGCTTTGCTCTGCCACTTCGTGAATTTGTCGAATCATTGTGGCCTCCCTTCAGGTCTCTGGTCCAAGTTGGCGATTAGCTGATTTGTAAAGGCGAAGCTGGTAGATTCCAAGTGGTCAGATTTGAGAAATTTTGTTACACTCCTCCCGGGTCCGGATGAAGCGACCAACAAGGAAAAGTTTAAGGAGGAGGAGGGTGTTAAAGACGATAGAGGGTCTTCTAACATTTGACTAGGCCTTAGCTTTCTTCCGAATACTTATAAAGATTAACATAGTGAATTCTTATGTAAGGAATATTTTGTTAAGTTTTTTAATCATGAAATTGATAAATTTTTTGATCGGTTTTCACATCCATGTCATGTGTTTTACCTTTGCCACATTACTCTTTATTTTGTGATAATTGCTTATGATGGATGATGGTTCGGTTTTTGGGAGAATATTTTTCGTTGATTTTGTTGGATTACCACCTAGCTCTAGTCTTGAACTTCCTATGTCTCGTTCGGTCGGTCAAGCCATCATCTTGAACCGGTCGCACCTTATGTCAAGCATATTAAGCATATGCTATTGTGGTTTTTCTTCGCAGTGGTAATCATCAGATTCGTCGTCGGGGTGATTCGTTCGCTACCCACCACAAATCTTGTCGCTAATGGGCAGGGAACCACCTCCAGAGCTTGACGCAGATGAAGTTATTAGCACTGGTTTTTACAATGCATAAACGTTGTGGGCCAGTTCTTGCATGTAAAGCCAATCAGATATTAATCATCATTGTTGGTAATTTTAGATGACTTTTACAGATCGGACATTTTGTGTCGCTGTCGATTTTAACAAATTTATACCGATTGGATGTCTTGCTTCTTTATCAGTTTTGTCGCTCGGGTTTGAGTATAGAAGTCTACGGGTTATTTGTAGAAGGATTATAAGGCCCTATAGAAACCTAACTCATGAATGAAGGAAAAAAATTATTACCCAGAGCAACACAAATTTGTTTTTAAGTGTATATGTGTGTAATCGACATCATTCTTCCATTTGTTTCGAGGCTCCAAATTCGTTGGCAGGGTATAATTTTGATGTTTGTTTCATCTAATAATATGCAGATGGGGAAGATTCCCGCCTGAGGTGAGGACTGCTATTCCAGTTGAAGGAAGGTTTGAGCACATTGTCCTGTCATGTAATAGCACATCTGATCATTCAATTGTGTGGATAGAACGAGAAGCACAGAAGATTCTAGATGTAAGTGCAAAATAACACATCTATAACTCATTAGTGGCCGCAAATTAGTTAGTTTTTTGTTAATTTTTCATCTTGTTCATTATATTAGTTCCATTATACCATAATTTGTTAATCTCCCTGTGTGTGTTGCTTTTTTATAAGTATATTAAAAAGATGGGGCATTTACATACTACACAATTCTTATGTATTTACATATCGAACACCCAAACTTTAATGTTTACATGCATAGCACTTAAACATTTAATATCACAGCAAAAATAATACTTTCAATTACATTTAAATGTTACATAGAGCTTTTTATGCATTGTTTTATCACACTAAAGTGTCATAAATATAAATATGAAAGTTTAGGTGTTAAGTATGTAAATATAAAAGCAATTTTGGATATGTATATAAATTTCCCAAAAATGATTTGTAGTCCTTGATAACACATGTCCCAATTATCTTCTTGTTGTAGTCGCTAGGTCTTGAAATATTATACCTTGTTACCTTAAAGAAACATAATAGGATAATTTGGTAATTGGTTCCTTCAATTTGGTATCTTAGTAGATATGAAAATGTGCTCTCATGGTACATGAATTATGTTGTGGCTAACTAGATATATGGAATCAATTTAGAACTTGTCGTGACTCTTGAAAAAAAAAAAAAGAATCAATTTGTGACTTGTTTGACTAGCTAAAACAAGAGCTCTGCTTATATTTTGCAATGGTTTTGCTATGCCTTACCCTACAAGTACTTAACTTTAGAAGGATGATTTTATAAAATCATAATTAGATTATTTACATTAAATGGATTTTAGTGTTGGCTGATAAAGAATGTAATAGAAGTCAAATTAGTTGCGGTTGAAAATACGATGCTAATTTTGATGCATGGCAAAACTAGGAATGGCATTGAGAAAGCATTACAAGAGAGTAACTGGGTTTGCAAATATAAGTTATTAACATAAGATTTAAAATCAATCTCAAACTTCTGAAGAAAAATAAATAAATAAACGATTGCACAGATAAAAATTGTGTTAGAATGTTTGCATGGAATACATTGTAACTCAAACAACACTTAACAGGATTTGGGGATTCATAAAAAACCAAACTATATATAGTTCAGATATTGCTAGTGCTATTGATGATAAATGATTTTATCAAGTAGTGATCAGTTTTAAGTGCATGTTTATTGGTCTTCAGGATGACCTCCATTAAATAACATCAATTTTTGCGGCTTATGTCCTCTCCGAAGTTGAAATTTCCATAGTAAAAATTTTGAAAAATTCAAACTTTAGATGACTAAACGAGCAATAATTCATCAAATCATTTGCTTTTCACAGATGATGAAGGAAAGGGATGAGATGGCAACTGCTCCCACTCAACAGAAAATGGAAAGAAAGCAAACCTTAGAGAAGGAACACAGGGATGCACTGGAAAGAGCAGTCACCCTGCGAGTGCCTCATGCAACCTCACCATCAGAACCAAAACCAGATGTGATCAGCTCTGCACTTTCAGAGAACAAGAATCAAAAAGCTCATGCCGAAAACGATTCTAAGTCCAGTGGGACGATAAATTGGGTTGATCTGGTTGACAAGCTCTTCACTCGGAATAAACCTGGCAGCAGCCACTTCCTGAAGACGGACATGAGCGTGATTTGAAATGTTGCGGCTACGTTATTCGCCATACATATGGTATTTATAGAATTCATTATTCTTTTGTAACTATATCATAAATCAAGCCACATTTTTTTAAAGAGCAACGATGACCTATTGATGGAGATCTTCAATTTCTTATATTCATTGAAATTTGTTCTCTTTATAATCTTCTAGTCAGAGTAACTTCTTATTCGGCTCCATGATATCTTAACCCAAAAGGTATCTAAAGAAAGTTTTTTATTACCTTCAACCAATCCAAATATCTCAGCAAAAAACTGCTCTATGTTTATCATGATTAAGGTACAAAGAAACGCAGCCCAAGCTTCCCAAAATCATCTCTATTAATGCACTCTAAAATGCCCTGTCAAAGAGTCTGTTTGGGGCAGTTGCAACTGATTAAAGTGACAACTATAAAACAGCTGTTTAAAAAGCTGCGGTGGCTATTACAATTTTCTTTTTTAAGAAAAAAAAAAATTATGACCGCAGCTTTCTAGTAGTCACTGCAGGTAGCAAGGTCTGGTGAGAAAATATTGTTTTTAGCTGCAAATTTTTTAGAATGCAGGAAAAACTACGGTGCGACACCACACCTCCACCGCACTGCACCATAAGTTTGATTTTTTTGAAATTTTTGTCTTCACTGAGTAGTTTTTTTAGAGCTTACTCGTGTTCAATATATTTAATTCAAATATTTAACAAAACAGTTGATCTCATTCTCATCATCATCAATCAATCATAATTATAATTGACAAATTAAAATACCTAGAGCATGACATTTCATAACACTTGAAAGACTAAAAGGGGGAGATACTCAACATTAATCATGTGGTCATTTTCTTCAAAACGTCTTAACAATCTTTTTCGTCGGACCTTGCTCTGTTTGACCCAAATAGTATGTTGCCTCACTATGATTATATTATATATCTGGATGCATAACAAAATGCCTCCAATGAGATTAATTCCAAAAGAGAGAGTGAGGGCAAAAAATTTAAATCCAACTAAATTTGAACTATGATTGAATAATTAGTTCATGATATTCGAACATTCTTAAAAGGTTGATGAAAACATCTTCGAACCGGCGTGAAACCAGCATTATTTTTTAGGGTGGGCAAAATTATCAAATATCTAAATTTTATAAGTTTGGGGGTGGGGGTAGGGTTGTCAAAATGGCTCGTTGTTCACGAACAGCTCATGTTCGATTTGTTCACTTTAAAGAGCCGAACACGAACACTTTTTTTGTGTTTTATATATAAACAAGCCGTTGTTTGTTCTTGTTCAGCTCGTTTTGGCTCGAACACTACTCATCAATTATATATTGATGAGTAGTTTTTATAAAAAAAATTAATTCCTACAAAAATTTATAATAAAATAAAACTATTAATTAAAAATATAATAAAATATATTAAATTAAATTTAAATAATATTTTAATATAAATAATAAGATTTAAATCATGTCCTAACCCTTAATGTCCTACGGCTGCGTGATTAGAATTGTCAAAATGACTGTTCGTGAACAGCTCGTGTTCGGCTCCTTAAGCAAACAAGCCGAACACGAACACACCTTTTGTGCTCGAATTATAAACGAGTAAAATACGGACAACAATATTTTTTAACGAGTCGAACACGAGCTATGCCTCAACTCACTCATCTTCGGCTTATTTACACCCCTGGGGGGGTGCAATTGTTCACTCCGGACATAGCATAATTTCTCTTCTGCTTCGAACTAATAACTACCTTGAATAAACAACCTCAACGGGCCCTCTATTATAGTTTAAATATTTGTACTTAGCCTGTAAATATTTTAGCTTAAGCTTTGAGTAGACCCTCTCTATATATACCACTGTAATAGTATTATGAAGTATGATAAATAGAAATTCACTAATCGGCTTCTTCCACTCTTCTGTCTCTCTTCTCTTTTATCTCAAGAACCATACTCCACCCATGTTTGAAATCATATTGAAACTATATTCGAAACTTTATGTCAATCATATTTAAATCTGTCTTCCACCATGTTTTGAAACATTTCTAAATTGTGTCTATTATTGTTTGAATCTTGTTAAATATTATCTGAATAATGTTCAAACTTACCTTTTAACATTATCTGCATCATGCTCATCTCTATATTCATTAAAAAAATTTAAAAAAAAATCAATCGAGATTAAAGAAGATTCAAACAATATTTGAACACTACTTTACCCAGTTGTCATTGGTAATTAAGTCCAAAATCATTATGAATGTAATATTTCAACTGTTGTCAGAATAAAGTCCAAATAATTAGCCAAAACTATGGTAAGATTTACATATATACCATTTTCTTCTTATATATTTACATATCTAACATCTAAACTTTAATTTTTTTGTATATAGTACAATGATACTATCTTATCCATACCTATAACTTGCAAAGCATAATAAAAATTAAATTCATTTAATCAATTAAAATTTAAAACTAATATTCATTATTTTCTAATAAAAATATTAAAATAAACAACTCGCCTCAATCATTGAACAATTAAATAGTCGCCCAGCTAATCATGCTGCATAAGAATTTAAGAACAATGAAAGCCAAGCCCCACATCAATGAAAATCACAAGCTCCAAATTGTATAATTTCTAATCAAATTTAATCACCCTAAACAATTAAAAGTATCAAATAAAACTCAAAAACATTAATTCAAAGCTTAACACCCAAAAAAAAAAAAGAGAGAATTGCTCAAAAAACTTAACACCTAATTTTGCACCGTTAAAAAATTATTATAAATATTTCATATTTGTAATAATAAATTAATAAAAACACCCAACCAAAAAAACTAGTAATTAAAAATAATGACATTTACTTGAATACCACCAAATTCCTATGTCTTTACATATCTAACATCTAAACTTTACATCTTACATTTATACCACATAAAAAATGCCACCATTTAAAGTTTAAAAGAAGGAAATACACCTTTCATCCGTAGCTAAGGTCGAATGCATGCAAAATTCCAAAATATAACGAGAGAATCATATGAACTGCTTCAAAATTACTAAAACTAAAACTAAAAATAAAAAAATAAATTAAAAAAAAAAACATAATAATACTATATCAACTAAATAAAACTAGTAACTCAGAATGCTAGTTTGCGTCGACTGATTGTGCCCAACACCTGCAATATAAATAGACGCAGCATTTCAGCAGAACTATCAAATTCATCATCATCTACTGCCATATATCATAAAAACCTATCAAACACAAATTTCTTAAAGAAATTATTTGGGGTTCAGCTACCAAGATATAGATATAACAAAACACACCACAACCATGCTAGCTCCTAGGCGTTCGTTCTTATTTTTCAATATTAAGAAGATGAGTTAATCTAGGTATTTATGATGTATCCATGGCTCCTGCATGGTAAGTTTCTAGTTCTTTGTCCAAATCTTCTGCAGTCTTCCTAGCCGGCTGCTTGCTGCCACGTCCACGTCCCCGCCCCCGTCCACCGATGCGGCCAAGGCCACGGCCACGTAAATTGCTTCCGCGAACAATGCTGGTGTTGCTGCTTTGACCTTGGCCATTAGATCGGCCTCGGCCTCGGCCTCTTCCACGATTCCACCTGTCAAATACTAGAATTAGAAACTAGCCCAAGTTACAAACATGTATATTTAAGACATGTACATAATAAACTTCAAACCCATCCATGAATTGTAAGAGAATAAACTTATTTAAGTTTACCAGATAATAAATTGATGGGTCGATGATGAAGATGTAAATGAAGTCCATGAATTGAAATGGTGAGCTTGTTGTATCAAACATGAAGAAGTAAATAAAATTACATAGAACATGTAAAGCACGGCTGGTTGGGGGAAAGCAAGAGAAGAATTGGGAGTCCACCATTAGGGTAAAAAGAGAAAGCTATACCATACTTACGTACGTGCAACGTGTGTCACGGGTTCGAATCCGCCCATTTGTAGGGTGTGGTACTCCAATATTTAGCAAACCTAAGGATGATTGGGGCTAAGTCTAATAGCCTTCGGCCATTCCTTTTAATATATATATATATATATTATTTATTTGCATGAGTATATATATATATTTGTGTGTGTGTGTTCGAAGTTAAATTAGGAAATAATTTATTGTGAGAAGTTATGAGGAATAAATTATTTCTTTGAATTGAATTTATTTCCTTTCAAATTTTAAGCTTTCCTATTTTATGTTGTTTCATTTTATCACCAAAATAATTAATATGAATTTGATTAACTGGAGATATTAAGAGTTATATCTTTTCTTTTCACTTATTTCATTTTTATTGTATTTCCTAATCTAGAATTCATGTAAGGGTTATTTATATTCCCTTTTTATATCAATGAAAACATTCCGCATTATTCTGAATTTCAACGTTGTATCAGAACCTAGTTTCGCACCTTAACCATCGATCCTTCTTCAAGAACTGTCACACTCCCTTCCTGCCATCCTCCACGCAGGGAGGGGCACTCATCTTAGTATCCCTACAGGCTTGGCCTGTCAGCTGGCCCTTCCCGAGTTGGGAGCTTCAACTCTGTCGGCCTCCAGAAAGCAAGCGGCAGTCTCCCAACAATTTTTCTCCCTACTGTCTTTCCTCCCATAGAGATCTATTCCATGGAGAATTTTCTGTTTTTGGCTGCCCAACAATCATTTCCCATGAAAAACTATTGCATATCTGTCGTGTTCCCCTCCTCCTTATAGGGTTTCTAAAGGTTGTTATCACTTATCCTTCCAACATGTAGTTCCAGCTGTCGGATCTCCCTCCATTGAAAGTTAATCACTCGATTCGAGCCTCGGACCATGTTGTCGCATCTAGAGTGACAATTTCGTTGAGATTCCGTTTAGAGATCGCGTGGGCAACCAACCGTGGATTACCCGCCCTCTCACTGGCGACCTCCCCCGACAAGATTTCTGTCGGACCTCTGTCGGCTGGCTCTCCCTCACCGGCTACCCTTCTCTAATGAGTTGGGTTGTCCCTCCCAGTCGCATGAGTTTCCCGCTGTTCTTCCCCATAGAACCTTCCAGTAGTTCTTACCCGCAGTACTTTCCCACAGGAAATAGAGCTGTTTTTTTCAGTTGATCTTCCCAGCGCAGGAAACAACGCATCTCTTACCCTGAAATTCAACGTTGCTTCCTGTGGTTTCCTGCTATTTTTTCACAAAAATCCACTTAGGTTCTTGCGGCCTGATCTGTAGCTGGGCCTCTCATCCTACAGTATTTTTCCCTTCTCTGTGCAGGCGTCAGGGGGAATTGCATTTCCAACGGCCCTTTCTCCTGCAGCTTTCTCTGTCAACAAAATTTTTTGGGTGTAATTTGCTCTCTCGTAGAAATCCCAATAGAAGAGTCGCCACTAAAGTTCAGAGAACGGGATTTTCTCTCTCCAGTGGCACTCCCAACCAAAGAGAAGTTATTTCTCAGACATGTCTTCACACCAAAAGTGGACAAAGATGAGTTTTTTTTGGCATGTTTCCCCATACAGGTTTCAACTATTATTCCTTCCTGCAGAAAGTTGCGGTTGCAACCGCCTCCGTGGTGTCTTTCGTCATTTCACATGTGGATTGTGGAAACGAATGGAAGCTTGTTACAGAGGAGTTCATCATTGGTTTGGTAGCCAAACGACTTGAAAAAAGTTATTACAGAGGCGAGACAGAATGTATCATTAAATGGAATCCCAGCTGTTGGCCAACATGCTCTTCTACATCGTTTCATCCCTAATGCCCAAAAACTCCAAGCAGGTCCTCTTTTTTTCCTTTTCCACCGGAACTCTCTATACACCTGGATTTATCTTGTTACATGCCCTCGATGCAAAGCCTCTTCCTCCGGAGCTTTTCCGGCAAAAGGTCCACCGGAATTCTTCCAATAGTAGACCCTCCTCTGAAGTCTTTTCTTGCATCAGACCCTACTACAGAATCTTTCCTGCAGCAGACCCTCCTCTAGAGCTTGTCCTGCAGCAGGCTCTCCAGATTTTTTCTGGCAGCAAGGCCTACCTTTGGAGCTTTTCCTTTTTATGCAGGTCATATCTTGTAGTTTTTCCTATTGGTCGTCCACTTTCCCATGCAGCATTACCTCCAGTAACCTTCTGCCTACCTACACTATGTAGAAACTGCAGTCAAAGAACTGCAGCCAATTAAAAGTCAGTTTTTTCCTCTAAGTGATTTGCTTCCCTACAAACCACCCTTGAGCATTACATGAACTCAAGTCAAACATAACCGCATTCCAACTACCAACAAACACTGCAGGAAGTGCAGTCAAAGACAACCGTAATATGGGATGAAGACATCCAAATTCTACTTCACAGGATCTTCCTCATTCATTGTTTGATGTTTTAAAATGCAAGTTTAACATTGTTTTAAACAGTTTCAACTTAGGGGGAGTGTTATAAGTTATATAGAAAATAATTTATTCCTGTGAGAAGTTGTGAGGAATAAATTAATTCCTTGAATTAGATTTATTTCATTTCCAATTTTATGTAATTTCCTTAATCTCCAGATGATTAATTGAGGATAATAGAAGCTATATCTTTACTTTTCTGTAATTTCTTTTTTATAAGGGTTATTTATACCGTATTTTCGTATCAATAAAAGAAGTCCGCATTATTTTGAATTTCAACAATATATATATATCTATTGAAAAAGTAATACTTTATTCTTGACAAGCAAGCTGTATCTTTACTTTTCTGTAATTTCTTTTTTATAAGGGTTATTTATACCCTATTTTCGTATCAATAAAAGAAGTCCGCATTATTTTGAATTTCAACAATATATACATATATATATATATATATATGTATATATATATATATGTATATATATATCTATTGAAAAAGTAATACTTTATTCTTGACAAGCAAGCACTACTAAATAGAAGGTAAAAAAATAGGCTTTTAGATCTCAGAAGAATTCTCTCTGTTGGTACATAAGTAGCCCCACCATAGCAAAGTTGAGAACAAAATACATACTTTGCAATATCAACATAAACAAAAATAACTTAAACATCAATAATCGAAAACAAAACTACATGCAATGCACTACAATAAGCCTCAAAAATTATTCCCTTTGCTTTCAAACTACAAAAATAATCCAAACTAATGCATTAGATTCGTGTTTTTGTAAAATCACAATATGCAACACATCCACAAGTATTAACCATAACAAAAATATTCATTAAAAAAGCCGTAAATAATTTGAAAAATTATGAACGAACAAAAAACACATAGCAAAGTTAAAAAAAATATGAAGATGTCAACTAGTGGTTAGTTTTATTTTATTATAACAGTAAAATGGAACTCTGCGCATGGATTATTTTGGAATCCAGGTCTTTGAGTGGCAGCCATAGAACAATAACAAGTAAAAAAATGATCAGCAAGTAAACAAGGAGTGTATGAGCGTCTCTGACATTCTTATCTAGCGCAGTCGAGAAATTAAAAATAACATAATAAGATTTATCCAATCAGGCATCTGCATTAATCCTGGAATATGCTGACAATGGCAAAAATTTGATCAAAAGCCCAGCTTATAGGAGGATATAAGATAGGGAAACCAAAAATAAAACATTCCAGAGAACAGAAAATTCCAATATGAAGCAAGTTTCAAAGATCTGAGAAATACTATTATTTTCGGCAATGACAGTTAAGCTGATTCACATAATGAAATATTTCAAGATGCATATGGCGGGAAAAAAAGGGAAAAAAGGTGAACGAGGTAAAGGTTATAAAATACAGTGAGATAAACAATATTGTAAAAGTAAATTAGGAGACACTAACAGAGAGGTATAAAAAACAACACGAAATGTTGACCGGCAAGAAAGCCAAATCAGTTGCCCGAACAAGTGCTAGCATACTCTAAACATCCAAGACAAACATGGAAACATGCTCTCCTAAATTGTGCATCCAAACATTAATCGCCAAACTAAAGGGTAAGCTCCACTAATTTACAAACAAGAGAACTAGTTAGACGCCAGCGTTGCTGCATACTTTCCAAGATACGCTACCCAAAACCTTCCTTCACTAAAAGAAGGGATGATAACAAGTTACAATTTCAGCTGCACGAAGATATTTAAACCACTCTTGTTACAAATTACAACCCAAAATTACAGAAGAGGAAGAGTGAAAGTTGCGCCAAATTAATCAATTGGGAATTTCACATTCATTAAAAATAAGTTGCGTTTGAGCTCTATCATAAACCAAAAAAATCTGTGCTGTATTGTTCCATGCAAAAATAAGACTAAAGACTAAAAATAAGGAAAATTAAAAATAAATATAAACCAGATCAGGAAAACCGTTTTTGAAAGAATAAACTACAGTAAATTCATGCTAACCTTTCTACCATAAACAAGAAGGGGAAAAAAAAGGTAAATTGCATGTAAACGGAAACCTACACAAAGTGCTGAGTGCTAGTTCAGAATATCAAAAGCTCTTTCCTCATTTGAATTTCTTTCTTACGACTAAATAAGAAATTGTGCCGGTTCAAATGTATGTGGAAAGATAAATAAGGAGCAAGCAGAGAGCTGTCAGATGAAAATCAAGTGCTAGCACTGACACAGTTAACATAAAAAGAAACAATCCTCATCCCGAAAAAAACTCAATATAATTCACTTCTTCCTACAGAGAGATAGAAAGTGCCTCAAAATTCATCCAGCAGATATGATACCAATTGGGAGGAAAGTGGCAGTAGGAATATCAAAAACCTTAAGCCTGTGCATAAGTCCATAAGCACAAACCAACTATGGGCTTTAGTGGACTTGGTTTAAAGAGCTTTCAACAAACATTAGAAGAGAAACCTCATGCATGAAGAAAAAAAATTGAAAATTAATCAAGAGCCATATTGAACTTAGCTTTATTACAAATTCTCATGGACGAGAACATTTGTCGATCAGGTCACAAGTTATATAGAAAGATTTATAACAATGAAGGATTTATACATATCACACAAATTTTATATTTTTAAATAATTAACACCTAAAACGTAAATTTTAATTATATAACACTCAAATCATTAACAGGACGTCTAAATTATCACTAATATTATTTTTTTTAAAAGCGAAATATATATATATATATATATATATATATATAAAATTGACACTAAAGTGCTATAAAAGTAAATATCAAAGTTTAGGTGTTAAATATATAAAAACATAAGAATTATGCGGTATGTATATAAACCTCCCTATAATAATATAGGGAGACAAAACAAAACTATTTAAATGTTCATGTATGGTTGTGGACAACAACTCATAGGACAATTAAATCACAAGCCAATATCGTGGTTAATGAACAATATCAGATATAAAATATAAAAATGCCAGTCTCAGAGAACTCACCCTGATAATTGCTTAGCGCCAACACCTTGACCAAATTCCGGGCTGAAAAAAACACAGGAAATAGAAAATCCTAATTTATTTTAGCATACATAAAAAGATTCCATATATGTTAAAAAAATTTACAATAGAACCAAAGAGCTAGAGCATAATTAATAAGTTGAGAGGCTTGTAATATCTACTTGAGGCATAAAAAATTCAATTCGATGCCTTTTCTACTTGGATCAAAGACTAGGCTATCAACGACCATTGCCATGCCAATGCCTAGCCATCATCACCAGCCGTTGACCTTGATTAGGGTGTGAGTCGGCTCAAACTGAGCTCGATGAGCTAACAAACTAAGTTCAAACCAGCCCAAACTCAACTCGTAAGATGCGCCGGCTCGTTTAAAAAAAATTAATATAAAATATGCTCAAAATATATTAACAAAATATATTAAATTTCAAACTCAAAATATATTAAATTTCAAAACTTTATCTTTAAAGTATTAAAAATGTTTAAAAAATAATATTTTGCATTATATATTAGGTGATTTTTTATAATTTATCTCCTAACTGTTCTTTATGTTTGTCATCTTATTATAAAACTAGCTTAAATTAATATAATTCTCTCTCTTTTATATTAGACAAGCCGGCTCAAACTCCTAGACCTAAGGTCAAGCTCGAGCTCGACTTGTTTACACTGCTAGCGGGCTGAGTGGTTTGATCAACTTGGTTAAGTGGTTTTTCTTTTAATCGAGTTAGTGCATTTGTTGTTGATAAGAACGAGAAATATTTCGTGACAATTCCAAATAAAAGCCAAATTATCCTCTTAAAAAATTATAAATAAACCCAATTCTCATTTTTTTTCATTTATGATCTCTAAAGACTATAGGGCCATATGGAGTTATTGAGCTCTGATTGCTTCTAGAAGATCCAAATGCCTATTTAGGTGTTCTTAAATTCTCCAAGCACCAACTGTCACCTAAAATTTGCCCCTAACCGATGCACACATTCTTTGATGTCAGACACCAACCCAAAACACTAACCAGCGACCTTTGATGACCAAAGTCGCCCATTCTTAACAATCAACTTACATCCAATGCAAACAAACACCTGTTCTCAACCCTTCACAAATGTGGTCAAATATAGCTAATTGTCCCTAATTGACATCATCAATCATCAGTGTCCTAACCACCACCTCAAGTAACAATCTTTGCAATCTAAATTCTTATATTGCACTCTCTATTGTCTTTATCTGGTTATAAAAAAGGGCAAAACTTTTGTATCGTCAAACTCAAGCTGATGGAATAATTTCCAATAGGCTAAAATCCATTATTTTTCTCCTTCCTGAGTTTCCCGCATTAAATTTGTATAGGCCAAGTGAGCGACAATCTCCAACTTTATCTACATGTGCAATCTTCATACAACCCTACAGCATTAAACTATCTCTATATCTATGAATAATCAAAATGCAATAATCAAAAACATGGGGCCTCTCAGGTTTTGCTTGGAAATGGCTTATATTTTTTTTTCATGTTGTCAGAACTTTGTAAAACTTGTCTACTCAAACATAAAAGGAACAAGAACGACAGAACTAGTCCAATCTTCTCATCCAAGCCAAAACTACTCTGTTGGCTATTTTTCATACACAAAAGCAATAAAAAAAATGACAAAAACAGCACATTAAAATATGATTTCTACAAAGGATTAAAAATAATTATAATAATAATAATAATAGTCATATTCATCCAAAGATTATGTAGCTAAACTAAGACTACTTTGGCAAAGAATACAAAAAATACAAACAGAACAACATACAAAATAACATATTCATTGTGCACTTAAATAAATTCATACTAAAAATAATAGCAAAGGCATTTAAAAAAAATGAATTTGAAAAGAAAAAAACAGCAAAAAAACCTACGTCATAACAACTGTCCTTTTCCCTCTGCCATTTGCACCTCCAACAACATTAACCCTAGGTGCAATCGGAAGGCCCAAATTGTTGCCTACAATTTCAATCTTCATAGGTTTACCATCAAGTTGAACATTGTTATACCGTTTTACAGCAGCTATGGCATCACTTCTCCTTGCATAGACAACCTCTGCAGATCCCTGAAACAAATAAAATCAATCTGATCTCGTGAGCATGCTTGACAAAGTAGAGAAGATTCAAATCTCCAAAAAAATATCATGAACATGGAATGACAAATACAGTGAAATAAGAAAAAAGCAAACGTGCAGTAAAGATGGGAAAGTAGAAGATTAACATATAAAGAAAATTAGTCTAATGAAAAACAAATCTAGCACCATCAAATAAAAACCCATTTTTTCCAATTTTGAAAGATTAATTGCTACGAAGCTGTTGAATTCTTACATGACACTTTAATAACAAAAAAAAATGGTGCATTTCCATTGAAAGAGCAAAAAATACAAATATATCACAAAATAGCAGCCATGATCACATAATTGATGATATTATGATCACTAATCAAATTTAAAATTTCCTCGCTATACTAAGATTCAAGGTCCCCTTGAGACTTGTGTAATACAACCATCCTGCTCAATAATGTGAATAATATGCAGAAAAATGATTTAACATCTTTTTGTTATTCTAGGTAATACACCCTCTATTATGTCATTCTGAGACAATTTTTGTTGTTTGGAAATGGCATCGCCTCCTTTAGAAAGTGGTTTGGTACGCCTTCCACCCTCTTCCATCAACTTAGCCTCATTTTCTATTAATAGTGTCAAACCAACTTCAACCAAGAAGTATTGCACCAGTATATTAACGAAGTTATTACCGTTATGCGTTCACTTCAATTCCACCACTTGTTTCTACACCAGCACCATAAGATTTCCCACCCTCCAGAAGTCATATTTTCACATTCCATCTCAAAATCAATTCATAGATCATAAATATATCAGAATCTAACCCAAGTTTAAAATTTTAATCTATGATGAAAATAAAAATAACCAATTTAATATGTTCAAATATGGTAATATTCTCAATCTAGTGTCATGCTCATACATGCAAAACCTAAGCCAATATCATAACCATTTTTTTCATGCACATATGTCCATGCATAGGCTCTTATCTTGATGATACAGCTTAATGATAGAAGCCTTCTGAAATTACTTAAGAGAGGCTTTTCCCCTCTCTATCCTCCAACCACCTCTCTTCGTATTCAAACCAAAAAAGGCTCTCACAGCAACCCTAATAACAATATCATTCAAATTTAAATCCTCTCACTAAATCCAAACCAAACTAAAAATCTACTCAATGGGCATTCAGCCACCCACTCAATCCCAACCGCATTCATATCTAAAATCCAAACAAATTTTCATTAAGTTGACATCCTCCAAACACTGCTATAGTAACAATATCCTTCGAATTTAAATCTTCTTGCCTAAACCAAAATAAACTAAGAATGAAACAATTAAACTTTACACCATTTGCATTTGACCTTACAAGGAAACTTTCAAATTGTATGGATGACATCTTTCTATCCTCCGTATTTCAACTAAGCAACCTCGATCACCAATCTGATTAATCCAAGCTAATTGGACCAACACAACTAAATCCAAACATGAAACTAAGTAAAAGTAAGACTATAGAAATGATAAAAAAAAATAGCATTCAAAATCTTCATGTCAATGTTGCAGTCAGATCAATACAATCCTTTAATTTGCTAAAACATATATTACCAAAGATAACAAAAATTAATAGCAAAGACCTAGTCATTCTCTTAATAAAAAAATATTTATAACGAACCATAGTTCAACAAGGGTCTCTATAATTTGCCTTTTCACGTCAAAGCATTCCAATTCTCCTATTGAATAGTCTTCCAATTATTATTGATAACTGCCATATATAATCAGCATAAGCTTGCTTATTACTATCAAATTTTATTTGGGTTCAGATCTTCTGGAGTGTTGCTACTTCCAATATTTGTTTCTTCAACTCCTAATGTAGAAGACTAGCACACGTCTTATTAATATAATAACTATATCATGGCGAGTCTTCTCTTTCCATTTACTTACATTTTTTTTCTTTTTCATGTCATTTTTTCTTCTTTAGCATTACCATACATCAAAGCCTCCAAGTTTGAGATTTCCCACGTACCCTTAAAATGGATTGCTCTTGGTTTCAATAAGAGTTTTGGCGGTACTTATCTTCTCTTCCAAACCAATTGATTAACTTGACTCTTAACAGTCCGTTAAACCTAACTCACATCAATATTGGCATTTCATTGCATCATAACAAATGTATCAATTATCAACCACATAAAAATTTTGGGAACTAATTATAATTAATACGAAGCAATAGTTTGTACGGAACATGAAAAATTGGTATTATAAGCTTGTTCCCTATCTTGAAGGGATACTTCCCAATTTTACTTCAAGTTTCCTAGCAAATTCCTAAGATCCCTCCAAAGTTCCTTATTACCCCAGTGACTTCACCATTTTACAACAAAAAATTATTGAACACACATTTGATCCAAATCAAAATTACTAAAGAGTCCATCACTCGACAAGATAAATGGATGTAAACTCAATTCCATCTTACAACAAAAAACTGCTTGAACACAAACATTTGATCCAAATCTAAATTACCAAAGAGTCCGTCACTTGACAAGATAATGGATATAAGCTCAACTGCCATCAAAACCCGAGAAGAGCTTTTGATAGATTTAGATGATTTTGCTTACGAATTAGCTAAACCAATTTATTTTGGATGTAAATTTCAAAAAACCTCATCACCCAAACTATTTTCAAACCAAAGTAAATTGAACTAAAGTTAAGTATAGTTTGATTATGGATGAATCAAATATAATTAACGTTAACAATAAACCTATTAAAAAGAATAACAAGCAAAATTTTTTAAAATTTATAATTTTGGCATGTGAAATACATAATATTTAAGTTGGCCTTTACATCACTTGTTTATTTACATGGATACATTAACATAATTTTTAAGGAAATTAATATAATCAATTTTAGCTTGCTTGGTATTACAAAAGAAGTAAACAATACTATAAATAAAAACAATTTAATTCAAAATTACATCTAATAACCAAAGCAATACTTCAATAACAAAATAATATCAATTCGATTTAATTTTTCTAATTTATCCAAAGAAAGCACACCCCTAATCAAGCCGATAATTAAATTGGAATAAACTAGCAACAACAAACCCAAGGTTGAAGGTTAGTCCGTTCAGGACTAAATCCTAATCCTTGTCTTTTATTCTTATCACTTTCATAGTTATAGGCATATTAAGTTGTCAATCTTTGTATTTAAGAATTGATTACCGAGAATCTGGGTAAGTATTTAACTATTTCAAATTAAGAAAAAAAATACTCTCCTTAATTCTTGCTTTTAATCAGGGATTTGAGTTTACCTTTAGTATTATAAATATGACATAAATAATGCAAGAGAAACTAAGTCATACAAACATACATAAATGCATACAAACACACAGACATGCATGTATGTGCATACCTTTGTTGACCTTATTTTTAGTGAGGTCTAGTTTTCTTCTTAGGGTTTAGGGTCTAGCCTTAGGATTCTCCTTTCGACTATCTTAAAGCCTTAGAAATGGGACCCACCTCGATTTAGAAATTAAAACTACTTCTTTACCCTTTTGGAGTTCAACATGTGTGGTCTTGATCTCTAGCACTTAGGAGATTGAAACCAACATGAGGAAACTCAAAAGGAGTCCCTATATGATCATTAAGCCCTGGGATTGTCTTATGCACAATTTGCACATTCGCGCGCACAAACTTTGCAATTCGGATAGTCGACATATTAAATATTGCAATTCACGTCACCTACGTCTTTACGTGTTGCATAATTAATCAAAACTTAAATAAAACTTTGAAACGATCGATCGCAGACTCGAAATTTTAATAAAATCAAATTTGACGTGTTTTCGACCCGATCGTCGGCGAGGTTGTCTGAACGACCCCAGATAACAAAACAAACCGAGCCGGCGTGTCCGGAAAGTTAATTTTAGCTAGGAGGGACATCAATTTTGCTTGGGCACCGCGCACAAATAAATTACATGAAATTTGACGCGCTAAAAAAAAAGGGAAAATACTTTAAAATCCCAAATCTCTAAACTCACGCACCCGCGCCTGACCCCTCCCCATTTATTCTTCATTCGGCCCACTCGAACCCCCAATATTCTGATTCATCTCCTTCGCTCTGATCCCGCTCGTGCAAACCCGAGCCAAGCTTAATTCCTCGCGATCGAACTCCATTCTTCGCGCGGCTTCAACCCGAGGTCCCCTCCTCGTACGCTTGCTTCTACCTAAAAGCTCCTCATTGTGACCACGCTCTCTGCCTCCACCTACTCCCTGCCACTCTGCTTCCATCTGCTCAACACCCACTCTTGCGCCCTTGACACCACCTACCCGTCTCAGTTTCATTCGGCTCACCTCCAGGTAAGTGGAATGTAGAGCTTCTCTTCCCTCTGTGCCTATAAAAACCCCATCCAGGGGGGTCTTTAGGATTGGCCGAAATTTTGGAGAGGGGGGAGGTTCTGCCAAAATTCTGAGTGATTCTTTCCTCTTGGTTGGTTTGTGTTTTGTGTGCTTGGAGCTTTGGTTTTCTATGTTTTCCTTTGAGCAATAAAAAAAGAGGTGTGGTTGTTGTTGGATCGCTGCTGCTGGTGTGTCGTTGCTGGAGCTTTGCGTCCAACTCTCTAGTCTGAAGCCCTCTTCCTTCTTCTTTCTTCAGGCATTTGGGAAGTAAGGATTTATTGTTTTTCTCTTTAGTTTATTTGTGAAATACTTCATGCAATAAGAGGTGTTCATGTGTTCTCGATCTAATTAAGAAGAAATGTCTCCTATTATCTTCATAAAATCTGGTTCATATATGCTTTTTGATGGAGGTAGCATTCAAGAGGCGCATTGAGAGCATTTATATGTTATTGAAACTGTTTGTACTACTGATATTATGATTTATCATCACAATACTTTTTATTTCACTTGTCAGCAAAAATCAAATTGTCATCACTTTGATTACTTTTTTTAGTTGCTATTAAATTCATACATATGTTTGTAATTAATTGTTATGCAAAGTCATGTGTTAGCAACTTCAGGTTCAAA